GTAAATAAGGGTGACATCTAGTGGAGAAGACTAATGATAAGATTCACGTTAATCAGATCTTGTTTTAAATGTGTGCTGAAATAAATCCCGAAAAATATCGATTTGCGGCTTTTGAGAATCGATATCGAATCGACGTCATTTTAAAAAACGATTAATCGAAAAATCGATTTTTTTTTTGCCCAGCCCTAGTCACAAACAAGAACTGCTATTGCTAGTCAAAGACAGGTGGTATTAGAGAAAGGAGAATTAACATTTTAGAGATCATTTCAGTGAACAAAAACCTGGATACAGCATCAGCACAGAATGAGCTCACGTTCACTGTACAGTGCTGTTCATCTGCCACCACTCAGACAAACACACAGTCCCACACCTTTGACTGAGATGTTTCAGAGTCACTGCGGTTTATGCAATTTCAGGCAATCAAACCAACAATCAATTAATTTATATTTGCCTCTTAAGCTGGGTCAGGAGCAATTTTTTTAAATAGCAAACATGTAAGAAAGCATAAAATGTGTACACATTATAGTCATTATATTTAGTGAAATAATGAGTATTATTTCACTAAAAAAAGATTAGACATGTTATAAAATTATTATTTTTTTCTTTTCCCCAAAAAGGCAGATGTGGGGTAAACTGTGTCAGGGACCACGAATAAAATGGCTAATACAGATACACTATTTGCTGCATATGCTATTATGAGTTAAAAAATTAAGATTCCCCCCCCCCCAAAATGTGTTGTAAAGTGTTTCAGATGCATTGGGGTAAACTGTGTCAGTGACAGCCAACAGTAATAGTAGGTTTTACCTCCAACTGCAAGAAAAACTAATATTAATTCTATTAAATACTATACAAATGTTGATTTTTGTTTGTCTGCTGCATTTAAATATTCAGAATATAAAAGCATTTTTGTTTGTTAAACGTGAATGTTTACAATAAAATACAACAAGAATACTGCAATTTCATTAATATGTGGTAGCAGGAATCCTACAATAAAAACATAATTAGAAGTATGAGTTTTCCCTCTCATAGAGGACCTAAATGAATGAATAAATAAATAAAGCTTACCCCCTCACTGAATTAAAAAATATAACAAAGGGAAAATATTTTATTAGGGGCGTTACTGAGATACTACTTCCCCTCTTACGAGATCAAGGCAGTGCAATAGAACACTAAAGAGCAGATGGCATCTGTGCCGTCACAACAAAAGTATTTTCATCAATGATTTAGCAGGTTTAGCCTTTATTACAGAGGCACTCATTTCCTCCCAGCATTGTGGAAATAACACGCATTGCAAAATGACTCAATTAAAAATACCACTAAACAACAGCACGAGTGTGGAGAATAGGCCTTTATCACACTTCCGCATTCGAAAAGCGTAAGTTTCAGATAGTAGCGTAAACAAACATCTGCTGCAGCCTGTCTCAATGGCTGTGCCCATAGCACGGGATTGTTGTGATTTATTTATGTAAAATTCAACACAGATACGTCTTCTAAAGACACCAAACTCAGTTTACAATCCTGAAGATGGTTTCATGCTATTCCGACGTATATTTTGTGACTTAAAGGCAGAGTAAGTGATTTTTCAAAAACACTTTAGAAAACTGATTCGGGCCGAATAGCAAAACAAACTTGTAGCCAATCAGCAATAAGGGGCGTGTCTACTCGTGATGTGGAGGAGAGCGCGTTCAGTGCATGGGACGGACATTAGCCGAGCCGAGCGACAGAGAGATAGAGATGGCGGATAAAAAACAAAAGAGGAAAACGTCTGCGGAAAGATAAGGCAAGAAGTAGGACCCGTGTAAAATATTGGATCAGCTTTCCAGTGCTGGAGAGAACTCAAGGAGCGGAGGCCTGCGATCGGACGCCGAGGTTGCTATGTTTCTTCTCAGTAGGTGAGTAACACCGTGTCTACAACAACTAAAGTCTGCCTACACTGGACGCGATCAAACGACCATTGAAAACCATTTGAAATTTGTGTCAGCACGTCATAAATAGAACCCGGCAGCAGTTTTCTGTCGGGATTTGTTGCGCCGCGCCGCTCACGTCCGTAGACACGGTGTAACATTGGTTTTGCTTTGTTTCACAGAACTAATCGTTGCCTGGGTTGCGTACGTATATGTGGGGCGGAGCTATCAAAATAGGGGCAAGACCCTTTTGGGGTAGGGGCGTGTTTGTTTTGGTGATTTCAAATATCAACATTGGCTACCAGAAATCACTTACTCTGCCTTTAAAGGGGAGCGCGCAAGCCTA